GGCAGTTGCTTTATAATCGGAGAAAAAAAAAAAGGCTCAATTCGGGAAATGCTTTACAGTTTTAGATAAATTATAGATCTACAACCCGAGGTTTATTAGCAATATTAAATAACTTCAAATTAAATATTTTATTCTACATTCTAATTTGATATGCTACACGCTAGTTTCATTTATTAAACGAATATAGCCTACAACTGATTACAACTAAGAGAGCAAAAATTATTTCCCCATGCTTTTTCTAAATCTTATCTAAAGCAACAAATAGGCCTATGAACATAGTATGGGTGCGCGTGTAGGAATGATATTGTGAATATTACTACTGACTATTGATGTAGCTAAGATGTAAATGGATTTCGGTATAATAGATTTTTATAGAATTTATAATAGATTTCAGAAAGAAAAAACAAACTATACGTGAACTGCAAATAAACACAACATCTATAGAACAAGTAAAGGCATATAAATATCTAGGCGTTATCATTAATTACAAACTTTCATGGGAAGACCACCTTAGAACTCTGACAAAGAAAACAGCCCAGCGACTATTTTTTCTACACAAACTCAATAGCTTTAAACTAAACAAGAAGATCCTAGATACTTTTCATAGCACGACTATACAAAATAAGGAATAACTTGTTGGCATGGCAACACTTCATCTAAACTGTTGCGACGTCTAGAAACCATCATAAAAAGGGCATCAAAAATTACACTCACAACATTACCACATTTAAAGGAACTTTTTGAACAAAAGTGTCTAAGGAAAATCGAAAAAAAATCTTGGAATACAACGGCCACCCGCTCCATCAGAACTACGTCAGGTCGTCGCGAAGTGGGCGACTGCTTTCAATCAAAACAACAGAGCGATACAAAAACTCGTTCGTAACTCACTCGGTCAGACTATATCACCGCCACTCGTTGATCAGGGAACATGAAAAGCACCTGTGTGTAGTCGTTGAATGAACTCTTTATGTTGTGTCTGTTGTATTTATGTGTATTTTTCTGTTGTGTTGTCTGTATATGAGAAAAGAGTCCTGTAATTACAACAAATTTCCGTAAGGATCAATATATCAGTCTTAGTCTTAGTCTTGGTACAGTTAGGTCATCGAGACAATAAAGAATAACATGCATTTATTATAGATCTTTTCTTTTTACATGAAGAGTTAAACATATATATAGACCTAATGAAACATATGGCACGAGTGGTATTATGGCTAGGTCCAGTCCTATATAGATATGATATAGATCTATTCCTTCACGTGATAATCTGATTTAAAGGCCTTCTTAACGCCAGCCCTCTAACTTTTGATATATTTTTTTTTCATACATTAGTGTAATTTTTGTTAAATCGGCATATTTTAGGCTAAGTTTTTTTTCTTCTTTATATAAGCCTACATACAGATTCTATAAACTATAATTTTCTTTCGACATTAGGGGCCTATAGTAGTCTATCTATCTTTAGGTTAAATTTGTACTAATGCTTAGTTTAATTATAGCTTAATTATACTGTGCGATTCTAGATTTTATATATATATATATAATATACGTCCTACGCGTGTCAATGGGGGGGGGGGGGGGGGGGATATGTCAATCTAGTCATGCATGTTAATCAGAGACTTATAGTTGGCCTCTTAATTGTAGAACACTTTTTTCATTTGACTGTGGGGCCCTATCCTTGAGAGATATTCCCATCCACACACATCACAGGCTAAGGTGGCCTTCACTTTGGTGGTAGAGGAGCTAGCCAAATTTAAATCTTCGGTCCTGTAGCATTTCTTAAGTTAGGGATTTTAATAATTGCTTTAGTCTTTTCAATTGTGAATGTTCGGTGTTATAAATCGCATAACGGCTCTTTTTGAGTCTAGTTTCTTTGTTTTCTTGCGTTGAGGAGTTACAAACAGAAGGCGGTTGTTTAAAACAGTGCTTTAAAAAAAAATAGATGCCGGTACACAGTGATGTATATTTGCGGACAATGGTTATGTTTGCCCTGGTTGTGGCAAAATATGTAGGTCACAGCTGGGACTGCGCAGCCACGAGAAATACTGCATTCCTCACTAATCTTCGGACTAGCTTTATTTTTATTATATTGCCTAACTTTTAACGACTAATAAAGTAATAATAAACGATAAAATACAAGAAAAAAAAAAAAAAATTTTCCCACATCCGGTATGATGAATTACTACTCTTTGATCTTTTTTTTTATCTCCAAAAAGAGGTTTTGGCCAATTTGAATAATGTCTATACCTCCGTGAACTGGAAATAGCCTACATTTAGACAATTTAGCAAAATAGCGAAGAAGATTAATATTTTTGTCAGGCCTTCATGCTAAGAAGGCCGAGGCCTAGATAGACCTATTAAAGGTGTTGAGGACTAACTGAACAGATTTCCGCACACGGGCAAATTAATATCTACTCCATCTACTCATTGCAAGACCTAATTTCTCAATAGTATTCTAATCGGGTCTGTGACAGGTTATTTGCTTTGAGATATCAATTAGCCAATACAGGATTTTAACCTCAGCCACGAGTGACAAGACTCTTTAGAAGGAAATACACTTTTTTTTTTTTTACAGGGCCAAGTCAAGTAGCTTGTAGTTTATAAGTAGGCATATATAAGATAAGATATCTGTGGCATTTTACGTCTCGAGAGACGATCTTTTCCCTTTTGCAACTTCTTGTGTGACTAAAGAGGCCATTTCTTGATACACAGCCGCGGTCACGGGTTGGGCATCTGTAATCACCAGGGCGCCGTTGCATCTTCAAGGAAAAAGAAGACAAGATATAGGCCTACAATAAAAAGAGTATACACTATTTCGATTAAATGAGATTAATTTAAGAGAACCCATCAATAATGGATTATATTGATCGACAACAGCCACTGCCTCTGCGTTCTCATGCATGATCTGATAAGTAGGCACTAGGTCACTAGAGCGTAAGCAAGTTGAAACAAGCAGAAGTATATAATATTTTTTTTAAAGACAAAGCTTATAGGGGCCTATACGGTAAAGAACTGTATATCAATATTATAAGATGTATTTCCCTTTTATATATTAAATAAAATTAACTAATTAATTTTGGATTGATTTATGTTTTTTTTTAAATGGACAATGAATAGTTATGTAAAGTTTGAACTTGATCCGAGAATGGGAAGTGAGATATATAACGTGTAGGCCTACAAGAGTGGCAATAGACAAACGGAGTGAGTTGATAGAAGCTTTGTACACGTTTGATTGGTGATATGGGATGTATGTGCGTGTTTCTGGTGTAGAAATTCTGTTTCAGGTGCTAATATATATTTCATATTGATATTTACATAAATTACAATAGTTCTTTCAAAATATAATTACGTCCTATGGGTATAAACATTACAAGAAACTAAACATTACTATATTGTGTTTGCCACAATGTCTTATTGGTACCGTAGGTGAACAGTTTTCTAATGAAATTATTCAAATACGACGATGAGGGAGAATTCTATTAATGTAGTGTGTTAAATGTTCCAGATTATTTTTTTCTGTAGCATCTTGAGATCCTAGGTATCACATACTAAGAGATTAGAGATAGCATTAGTACAGCGATTGGACCCCACGATGATCTATTAGCCAGTCTAAAAACGCAAACTAAAACTCTATGGCCATCTCACAAGGTCCCCAGGGAACAATACCAGGAAAAAGAATTAAGAGGCAGTCAGAGTAAGCGTTGGGAAGACAACATAAAAGAATGGACAAGCCTGTCATTGAAAAAGATTCTATCAACGGCAAAGACAAAGAGGAAAGGAGAAATACGTTCAACAGATCTTGTGTGGTACCCTAACTGTGATTAGGCTCTGTTTTGAAAGATAAAGCGTGTAATGTATGTTTATTCAGTTTGGGGGAGGTACTGCGATATAACATTATTTTAAATATATTTAAAATACTTCTAGTGTCCACGAGTATTATACTACAGTAATGCTTCTCATCCTTAACACCAACACCAAGCTTACAACGGACTTTTCCCACAGAACTCTTCATTCACTGACGTATGCTGTATTAAAAGGTTCAACAAATGTAACATCATTTCTTGAAAACAAACAAGCAGTTTTTAGATCCGCTATTATCCAACTGACAAGACAATTCAGAAAATACAAGTCATTGCTTCCTGCGTGTTATGCTATCGAACTTGTTCAGTTCTGTAGATGAATTCTGATAAGGAAATCTGTTTTTATGGTACCCGGTACGGTAATAAAATATATTTTTTTTTGGCATTTGTCAATTGATTGGATTATTTGATTCAATAAAAATGATAACAACTAAAGGAGAAATAGGAGGAGCCATACACAAGGAGATCACAAGAATTATATTCCCAGCCTTTATTTACTTGATTAACTGTTGATGGAGGCATGGAGGCTAAGCAGTAAAGCACTTAGCCTCCAATCCGGTAATTGGGGTGGGGGAGTCTCCAAGTTCAAATCCTGATGCTGAATCTGATTTTTAATTTTCGGATCTTTAGGGCTCCTCAATTCCACCCAGTTTTAATGGGTACCTGACATTAGTTGGAGAAAAGTAAAGGCAGTTGGTCATTGTTCTTGCCACATGACACCCTCGTTAACTGTTGGCCAAAGAAACAGATGACCTTTACATCATATGCCCTATAGGCAGCATGATCTGAAAGGGAACTTTACTTTTTTTCTTCTTGATGCCAAACATACTTGCTGCTATCCATGTTTCTCTAATCCCTCAGGATGAGCTGTTTAAAAAATAGAGTACTGCTATCTAGAACAGCGTTTGCCAAACTGTCTTCTGCAGAACCCTAGTGTTCTACGAGGCCTTAATAGGTGTTCCACGAACTACTGGGATACCGGTAATTAACAAGTAGGCCATAACGTGAATTTTCATGTAAATCTATCTAATTAAATAAGCAAAGTGTTTGCTAAATACTCAGAATGTAGGAAGTGTTCCGTTAAGGAAAAAAAAATGGGAAACACTGGTCTAGAATATAAGAAGGAAACTCTAACACTGTGTGATGTATTATGTCTTCAATAATTTAATTATAGCCAATCAACGTGGATGACATCAAATACATTGAACATTCTGTTAGCCTTGGATTAAGCGTAACATTATATCGAATGCTGCCTGTAGTCATGAAGAAATGAAAGACGCTATTATGCACACACACAAAAATATTCATTTCCATGGGCTACATACAACTTTAAGTAACTGTTCAATAGTTTTAAGACTTAGAAAAAAAAAAAGCAGCTTACAATTTGAGTTTATTTGACAAGAATGTATCAAGTAAAATGAATATAAACAATACAACAAAATGAGAGTTGTGTTTGCGTGAGCCTCTCTACTCTTGTGGACTACACAAGGGGCCGAGATTCAAACACAGATAAATATATTACATTGATGAAACAGAATAGTGCAGCCTGAGAAATGAGCTAAAAAAAAACAACAAAAATTGTGTTTCTCTCAGAGATGAACTATCAAAACAAAAATTGTGTAACAGGAATCCTTAGGCACACAATGATTGCCATGCTGATACAGCATACATTGGTCATGTGATCAACAATTTACAACTATAGACAACAAAACAAGAACATATATATTTTTTTTTTTTTTTTACATTATCTCCCTTTATATAGTGTTTTGCATCTACTGGTCATTGGTCATTTGAGCTTTCATGAATTTATTCCATATCATGGTCACTTAGATCTTCATCGGCCTGGTCCTCTGAGCTTGAGGACACCAAGTCCACACAATCGTCCTTATCCACCTTGTCCTGACCAGGTTGCAATGATGATGAGTCGCTCACAGGTAGGACTGGCTCGTCAGTTGGCACTTTCTCTTTCTTGGACATATCTGCTGTTAAAAAAAATAAAAAGCAAATATAAAAAAAAAATAAAAATTAAAGCTTATAAAAGGGGAATAGCTCAACATTTTATTGCCATTTTTATCTCAATACTGTAAGATTTATTTTCCCTTTCCAATGTCATACAAAATTAATTATCACTAATTAATTAATTTATTAATTTTTATGTTGAATCATGTTTTGTTAGGAACAATGAATAATTGTGTAAAGTTTCATCTTGATCTGAGAATGGGCAGTTGGAGAAATAACAAATTAAAAATTTGTACCAGACAGACAGAGTGGGTTGATATAATCCTTGCTAAAAAAAATAGAACACCAAATATTCCATTATTTTAGATACTCAACATTATCATTTAAGCATTCCCAGGGCACTTCATTTCAGTTTAAAAACAAAGTCAAAGAGTACATTAAAATATGATGTGAAAAATCTTGTTGCTATTCATATTTTGGGCATCACGGATATAAAACGTTTTGCGTTCTTAAGATTCAATGGCTAACATTAAAAATTACTTTGCAAAATCTTCAGAGCGAGTTTCAATTCATGATTCCTCTTCTGATACATTCTACGCTGGCTGTCTCCTTTCTTAACCTCCTTGCACAGCTTGAGGATCACCTTTCTAGCCTGTAACAGATATGTACATAAATCATATTGGTTTCTCTATGTTCTAACAAGCAATAGAAAAAAGAATACGTTTTAAAACCAACACTTATCAAAGGCTAAATAACTGCTAATTAATCCCATTTATCTGAAAAAATACAAAGTTTAGCTCCCTTTCTATTATATAACACAAAATTAATTAAAAAGTACTAAATGATGAACTAAGTGGTTAATTTTTCAATTGATTCATGTATTGTTATTGACTATGAATAATTATGTCGAATTTCAACTTGATCCGAGAATGGGAAGTGGGAGAAAAAAACTTGTCAAAACATATTAAGGGGACTATATACATATATATCCACATCTCTCATTAAGTAGCATTTATTCCCCTTAAATAGAAATCAAACAAAATCATTAATCAACACCAATTAATCAACTAATGGTTTAATTTTTTTTCATTATTGATTCATGTCTTGTCAGGTTCAATGAATAATTGTGCAAAGTTTTAACTTGAACTGAGAATGTGAAATGGGAGGAAAAAAAACGTTCAAATTTTACCAAACAGACAGACAGTGAGTTGATATAAACTTTGCAAAAACAGTCAATGGTTAAAAAAATAAAATGAGTTAATGACGATACTAGATAGAGCTGGGTGGTTTCTTTACCTCAATCAGGACATTAGCCTTAGACATGACATGATCTTCAGGCAAACCATTTTCTTTAAATACTTCCACTTGCAGATCCTCAAAGAGAGCTTTCAGTTTGGACCTCCTCATCCTCTCCCTATATCGGGCAGAAACAAAGTTATTCTAAATGTAACAAAACTCATGGGCCAGAAACAAAGTTATTCTAAATGTAACAAAACTCAGATGCCATACACAACAGTAATAGAAAGAAGGGTGAAAATGTAACAGCTGCTTGTGATTACAGATGCCCAACCTGTGACTGCAGCTGTGTATCAAGGATTTGGCATCTTTAGTCACACAAGAAGTTGCAAAAGTAAAATAGCATCTCTCAAAGACATTAAAGGCCACAGAACAAACCTCATATGGACAAGAAATCCATTTGTTAAAACAATTTAAATTTAATAGTAATATTTTGGAAAATAAAATGACTTAAGGACTGGAACAATGCATCTTAAGACAGGAAAAATACATTTTTAGATAGGAACAATACATCTTAAGACAAGAACAATACATCCTAAGACAGGGACAATACATCTTAAGACAGGAGCAAAACATCCTAAGACAGGGGCAGTACATCTTAAGGCAGGGAGTATTTGGAAATTTGAACAGGAGAAATATATTAACTCTTTCTCTCCTAACTGACGATACCAACGTTGATTCCACTAGAATGTGGTAAATAATTATGGAGAGAAAGAGTTAATACAATAAGAATATGGTGACAAGAGTTCTCTGTGTTTGGGAAATAGGGGAGAGGGCTGGGGGGGGGGGGGGGGGATAACTCTCACTAGGCTATTAAAAAAAAAAGGACAATACTTCAAGATTATCATGATTAAGATTCTTTAAAAAATGTCACTGCAATACTTCTTGCAGTCAAGAGTTTGTTTTTATTCATAAACAAACACAAGAGTACATTGGCAGAAAGTTACTGCTAGGTCAATGTACAACACTATGAATAGTGTACGCCTCAAAGAAGAGATTATTCAATACAAAATTATTATGAGAACTAGGCAACTGACATTTTACCAACACGCATTAAAAGAATAACTTTCGTGATCATTATAAAGGTCCTCTTAAGGATAAGGACATCTGATAAAGTGTTCTGAAATTTGACACTAAGAAAGTATTTTACAACATCACTCTTCTAAACCACGATAAGGCCAATTATAAAACCCATTTCAAATGCATACAATACAGTTACATGACTCAACAAAACAGATACGGGCAATTTATAACATTCTCTTACACTAAGTCAGATCTTAGAGTAAATCTAATTGCTTAAAACTGTACTCACAAATGATTGTGACGAGTTAACCTGGTGGTCGCAAATTTTTTACTTTCTTTTTTAACTGGAGCTGTTTCTTGAAAGAGCTTTAAAAAAAAAAAAAAAGATGTTTTCAATCTTCTAAGAAAATAGAAATATGTCACTCAAACCAAAACATCCTTCTGACAAGCAGCCAATACAGGTTAACAAAACAATAACAAATAATATGTATCTTTCTAAATGCTTTGCTTAAGAGCCATATACATGCGTATCTTTATGCATGTTGTAAACAAAATATTTTGTAACAGAATAAATTATGTGTGAACAGTTCAGTGAGACAACTAGGCTCAACTGTACCTTAAGACTCACCAAGTAGGTCTGTGCAACAAATGGCTGACAGTTTTCCTCTTTTCGTATCTCTTCAGGGACACTTGTATCACAAACATCTATCTCTTCCTGAAATATACACGACAATAGTACTTTTTTTTTTATTGTACTTACAACTAATTGTACTTGTTAATTTTAATATAACTTACTGTACTTATAATTTTACTTATAACTAATTGTAGTTGTAACTAATATTGTACTTGTAAGTAAATGTACTTATAACTTAATGTGCCAAACAGAGCACAACATTTCAATGGTTCACCAATAAATTGCACATAAGAAAATGTGGCATCATAGGTCAGTGGAGACCAACCATTTTTGGAATAGGGGGCCACATAAATCTGTGACACAAGTACCACTGACCACATCCCAGCAAAAAATTGTTGAGTCCAATGAAACATCCTCTAGGGCTTAGATACGCATTATGAAGGCTCGAGGGGCTTGATGGCACTGTGTCACAGCCCGATCATGGCCCGTGAGACGTACTTTGGGCCACATAAGCATTACAAAACATGATCTTTAGAGTAACAACTAACAATGACTTGTTACAGCTGCAATGCTATTTGTTCTCAACCAATGAGATATATATTTATATAAATGAATGTAACATAACTTACATCAGAACTGAGCATTATCAATATATCATCCGTGGATGCTGTTGATATTGAGGTGGACATCACACTTTTGGGTCTATCCACTAGTCCAGCAGGACTTGACCTAGTATGGATATACGAGTCACTGTGAGCAGATACATTGCTGTCTTCATTCAAAGCGATGCTATCGCCCGCAGACAGACGACGTCTTTTACATTGCTGTGAAACGTCTGCTGGCTGTGATGGAGTTTGTTCTCTAATGCCAGCTGGAAGAATGTTTGGAATGGAGTCAGCATCAGTGATATGAAGTGCACTTGTACGTGAGTCATCGTTGTTGTTTATTGGCTTCTGGGTTATAGTTTCACTCATTTGCTGCCACTGTTTGTTTTCTAACTTAACTATAGGCGTGAAGCCAGCGGGAGAAACTTTAGCAGCAACTTTATCTAGGTCATCAGCCATATTCTCTTGCTTTACCAACAATGACTCGTTAGATGATTTAAGATGAGCAGCTTCAAACACCAAAATTGTTTGTTCTTCTTTACAGCCTTCCAACTTTGATAAGGGGGAAGGCGTGGATTCTTTCTTAGTATAATGAGATACAGCAGAGGATGTTCCTTTTCCCCGACTGGTATTGGGCTTAAGCCCACTCTGCAGGCTGGATTTACCTTTGAGAGAAGACTGAGGTAGCATGTGAGTGATGGGCACACTCAACAAAGATCTCTGATTTCCTTTGGCCATTTTCCCTTTAGCTATAGGGACAGAGATGATTTGCTTTCCAATGGGAGGTTCCACAATAACCTCTACTATACTGCCTGGCTTCTTGGGCAATTTCATATGCTTGAAATTACTCTGCGACACAAGGAGTTGAGTTTTGTTGGCGGGACACTTGAGTCCTTGCACTTGGGTACTGCTAGAGGCATCCACAGATCCAGGGATCATGACTAGCCCTTTGGGCTTGACCAATGTCTGGGTACCTGATGAAGTTAGGGAGAAAGGATCTTGCTTGCTGAGGACTATTGTGTTACCCAACAGAGATTTGCTTTTAGAAGTGGTTGTTTCCAAATTAGTAGGGGCATTAGAAGCTTGGAGTATGAAGCCAACAGGTCTGTATGTTACACTCGAATCTGGCTTGGAGAGAGAGATAGGTGGGTTAGAGATACACAGTTTACTTAAGCCAGAAATGCCAATAGAGGATGAAGTGGTTGGCTCAGCTAAACTGGTATTT